AACATAATTATTATAAGTAATTGAGAGAAAGATACGTATGTGCCCCAGAGAATGGTCAGACAGGCTGAATAACTTAAGTTGCAAAATAGGTTTATTACCACAAACTACTAAGAATACTACAGCACCGGGGAGGGGAACAAAGATAGGGACAAGTTTACAAGGAGAAGAAAAATAAAAACAGACATTTTAAGACACCTGTTATCCTTTCCGGGACCCGTCTCTTTCTCAGGTCCCCCCTCTCCACCCCCATGTCTTCCCACACACACAAGGGACAGGAATGAAAGTCTAACATAGATCAAACTACTCATTACAGTTATTGTCCATCATCATAGGAGATGCGTTCTTACAGCTCTTACAGCTGTGGAAGTTCTTTTCCCAAGAACAGTCAGTGTATAACTGCTGATGGTGAGGGAGTATTTTCTTTACCTCGTAGGAGAAAAGAAAAAATGTCCTTCAAGGCCAAACTGCGTTGTTTCAGCAGCGTAAGACCACTATCACAAATCTCCTGCCAGAACACAGCTTCTTCTAAGCATCCACTTACTTCAGATGTAGGGCGGGGGCATCTCTCCCTCCCCGCAGAACACATTTTCTTCTTAGCATCAACTCGCTTCAAACGTCGTGGAGGGGCCAAGCCTCTTCCCCTTTTTTTTGCTCCTGATAAGTTCAGTCCAGTCCTCAAAGGCCAGGCTTTTTTTTTTTCCTCAGAGCAAGGTCGCTCTCTTTTCTATACAGGTCTCTCATTGATGAAATAGTCCTTTCGAGARCAACTTATTTTCTCCATGTTCGAGAACCACAGCACAGCACAGCAACCATCCAATCTTCTCCTTACAGTGAACTTCGGTCTCCACTTTTCTTCTTCCATCTCCTCACCCTCCTGCTCTGTTTTTCCCCAGTGCATGATACCAACAACTTAAGAACTACATGGCAGCCGCCCCTATCTTGTTTTGAATTCTTTCTTAAGTACWRGACAATACGTCATCACAGAGGTGTAACCAACCTGTGCAATTGGCCCAGGCCTGATGGTCAGCCTGTCCATCAACCTCAGAGCCACAATGGATTGGYTCYAAAACACAGSGGGYASGRCTCCTTTTGCTGGAGAAGAAGGAGAAWGCTTCTAGAACTTCCTCACAGGAGCCATCTTTGTGGTTTCTTGGTCCCATCCCCCCACCACCAAAAAATCGGACCAAGTAAAACCATGACAATAAGCCACAGTAAAACCATATAGCCAAAAATGCTTTATTTCACCATTAGCCATATAACCAATATGCATAAAATGGTGTCTATATTTTTGTTCAAAACAGTTCCAAACCCCAAGAAAGCTATACTGAAAACATTAACCAACACTTTATTCCTATAAAAATAAAAAAGAAAAATTATACATTCAAGAGGTGTCTATACTTTTAAACAATAAATTAAACTTTGTCATATCAACATCAATTTACATTTCAAATGATTTAAAAGAAAAGTACAGCGTARGATACGAAATAATCTCTTTCCTTACCTTCCAAATACATCAAATACATTCTTTTACTCCTTTAATGCACTGGCACCTAAGATCTTAGAAGAAACTACAAAGTGCTACAGGAAAAGAAAAGAAAAAAATTAACCCCCCCCCTCAGCCACAGTCTCTGAATGGATATCACCTTCCAAGATTTTGCTGACAAAACTCTCTGACAAAAATCCTAAATGAACTTCTATGAAAATACAAACCTAGTGACTAGGATAGTGAAATCTTCTTCAAAACTGGCAAAAAATCCAAAGAAACTTTGGCTTTCCCAACTATTATGCAATTTATTCCAGTTACTATAAACACAATTCCACAACAGTTGTAGTCAAGGTCTGTTTTAACCAATACTTTATTTKTGAGAATGAATGGCTGGTTTTTAAAAATTTAAAGCTTTTATAGGACTGTCTCCATTATATACCTCATATCTCTCTATTAAGGTTACCCAATAAAATGGGAAAACCTAAATAAATTATATTTAGTGCTCACTGCACAGGTCACTGGAATGCAAACATTAATACTTGTCAGTTATCTTGTAAAACCTGGATTAGAAATAGATTTACATTTGAGAACACATACTAATTCCCCAACTAATTTCTACAGACAGTAATTTAATTCCTGCTAAACCCCCAGTTTTCAATCATGTAAGCAAAGCTCTGAATTAGAAGGGCACTGATCACAACTAACTCAAATGCTGCCATGCTCACCTGCTGCTGGACTGAAGCAAATGAAGCCCACTGCAAGTAACATTGCTGGGCTCAGCTTTCTTTTGGGAATGAAGGRAATGCTTCAATATTCTTGCAAACTCATACAGATACACCTGATCCCACTTCAGACTAGAGTGCTCAGGTTACATATTACAACTACAACCCCTCTAAGATCAATATTGGCTGTGGATTTACTCTGCACGATTTCAGTTTCTTCCCTAAGGAAGGAAGCCCTTTCTTCTGAGTCCTGAATCAGGATTGCAACCAATCCTTTGCAAAAAAGCTGACAAATAATCAGGCATTTGGGCTGATGATGCATTTTCTCTGCTTTAGTGGCCCTATTGCACACTAGCTGAGAGCCAATTTGCTTTTTGACTGACTTGAAAAGATGCAACTACAGCAAAGAAGGTACCTCTAGCAACTAACTTTTTTATTTTTGCAGAAAAACTATTTTTTTTCTTGTAAAAGGTAAGTTTTGTATAGAATTTGATAAATAGGAATTTCTTACTTGAAGATCCCGATYTGAGGGTTTTTTTTAAAGCATAAATTCTACCTTGGTGCAAGACAACTTCCTGATGCTTGGGACAGCCAGCTCCAAGGACTTCCTATTTACAAAATGTTTATTGTGCAGAAGGCTGATAGAAATATGATGCTACGTTGGCTTCAGATGGTAACTGATGTTARGCAAGGGGTTTAATAGCTCTAAAAAAGCATCTACTTCCTCTTCAGCATGCAGGGCAACCTCACCAGTTACAAAGCCACATTTGGGTTTCATTTGCACCTCAGAAAAAGACATCAAATGAAAACAGACAAAATAATTTTTCGAAGGAAAATATTTAAGGATTTATATTTTAATATTACTTAAGAGCGCAAACCAGTATATGAGGTAAAGGTTCCACTTAAAATTATCTTCTGGGTGAGTTTGACAAAAATTAAATCCCATTAAAAATAGGGCTCTTTACAAAAGAAATTGCTCCAAGACAAATGATGTGTTTAAAACACAAAGTGTTCTGCAAGAGGGAAAAAAATAATGTATTTCCCATCCCTACTTTATCTGTTAAAAGCATTTTCATGTTCACAATGTCTGATTTTTTTTTCTTAATTTTTAAGAATTAAGAATTTTTTCTTAATTTTTTTCTTAATTTTTTTTTTCTTAATTTTTTTTTCTTAATTCTAAACCTAGGTCTTACCTGCCCTGAACAAAACATTTCCTACATGCTTTTCCATATACCTTTATGCCTTCTGGCACTTCTAGCAGCACTGTTAAATTCCTCAGAAAGGAAATCAGTTCAGACTGGTCTGAACACCACATTGCCCCTTCAGCAGATGAAAAAAAACCCATCCTCTCTTAAGCAACTGTAACATCACTTCGTCTGTTTGAGGCAAAGCCAGTTTTACAGTTGTGGGAAAYCTCAAAGTGAATTTATAAGGCAAAACAATGACATTTCAGAAAACAGAATCGTGACAGCCAAGTAAACAGTAGTTGAACAGCAAATAGAAGTGTTTCACTAGTGTCTATTAAAATCAATACTTTAATATTTTAAATACAACTTTAATTAAAGGTTAACCTGCCGCCAAGCCCAAAATAACACACRAATTAAAGACTCTCACCCAAGTAGTCTGCAAGCAAATTAGGAGAGTCAATTAACTCACATTCTATTCTCCATTGCCACAGCCCTGTCTTGAGATGAATTTGTCATAAAAAAGGAGACAACAATATTTCCTGGTCTCTTAATTACAATCAAAACTAAACAATGTTTTCAACATTCCACAAGATTTGTTTTTTCCATAGTATTATTGATCCTCAACTTTTGCTCTTTATATGAATGGTAAGAACACTACTGTCACAGGGTTAATCTGAGCTGAAAAATGGTCAAATCTATCAGCATTATGTGCTACTTCTTCCTTTTAATTCAGAGAAACTTATTTGGTTTTTAGGATGATAGCTTTCAGTGATTGTAGATCTTACTGTTCGAAGCTTGCACATGTTAAAGTACACTAAAAYGAAATCATATTGCATTAGACTGCTATATTTAAAGTGTTAATGTAAATTATGGTTAAAATAGAGAGTCATTTGAGAAGGCTTAGAACTATCAGTGTCAGAACTTAAATGCAAGAAACCCATATAATCAAAACATTATTTTATATAATGAATTAATCATTCACTTGGCTTTCAACTGCCTTTGAACAAAATATTTTATGACAACTTTACCTTCTACATAGCTTCAGTGAATAAATATTTTTAACCAAGTAGACTGATTGCAGATTACTAATCAAAATACAAACATTTCCCAGCACATGTTATCTGGAAAGGCTGAAAGAGTAAAATAAACTTGCGCTTAAATGCTACATTTCAGAATAGAAAAATAAAGCTATAATCAGTGAAATAACTATGTTTAAATTATAATTGAATATGAACCATATGCATCTATTTTTGACATTTATGCTTTTAGTCTAACACAAGAATACTCTCTACAGGGAAGACTTTTGTTGTAAAACAGTATCATACGATACTTGTAATAAAGCCAATGCATAGTTCATAAGTTAGGTCAGAACCAGAGTTCTTTTGAAATACATATCTATTTAACCAAATACTACATAGTAGCAAATAGGAGGGAGAAAGGAAAACCAACAGTTAAAAACTGAGTGTATATGAAGACTTATTGCTGAATCTGTGGGTACATTTTGACTGCATGCGATTTATTATCAACACCTAAAAGACAGGATAATTAAAAGCAAACCCCTGGATTACATTTTTTTTTTCTGCAAAACATCACCACTATTCAAGGTTTGGTTGTATTTTAATGATTTGTATTTCATACATCTGGTTATACAAAAGGCATTCATGGTTTAGGGCACTGTTTTTCTTATTTTAATAAATAGCAAGCTCTGTCCCTTTCACCTCTGTCTCAGAAGTGTTTCCCTGTGAGATTTCTGGAGACACGCTGAATAGGCAGTTTAGTTACTTCCATATCAAATATAAAGCCACCAAGTTAAAATTTGTTTAATTCCGTAGACATAAATGTTAGTGTATTTCACAGTGATGAAAACCTCAAAGGTTTATTGCTCCCTCTTCATCTACCACCACACCAGACATTTTGAATACTTATTTTCATGATCATGCCAGCATAGGAGAAATCAAGGTTAAACTGTTTATGAAGGTTATACAGAATCTTGTCTTCACAGCATTTTTTGCCATTTGCCAATTGCTTGACAATTAAAAACCTTGTGGTTACAAGTTTTAACTTCCACCAAAAAACCCCAAAATGATCAATTAAATCTATGTCTTTGTGATTTCTTATTTTTTGTGGAAACAAAAGCTGGTATTAAAGATGTTTTCATAAYGATGCTTTCATTGCAAGGTCAGATCTAAGGCATACTTCATTCAGTGCAAAGTCATCACACACACTAAAGAGAGAAGACAAAACCCCTTCAATTCTCCCCTATGGACCCTACAGGTACATGTGCAAAACCCAGCAAGACTGAAATAAAGATGGACACAATATACAAGATACTTAATATTTCTACTAAGGTATTTAAAAAAAAAAAACCAACTTGTAGAGATTACTATTTTYATAGCTTTGAGCAGTCTCTCCATGGCCAGCAATTTCAAACAAATTATTAAAATCCAAGAGCTCCCCAATGGTTTGACCAAACCCATCCAAGTTTACCAGCACAAGAGCAGCATTTGTTGTCACATGMCCATCATCACTTAAATGTGCACGTACTAACCTAAGTCAAGCCTATACCATGTATCTTGAGACTGCAGTTTCATGAGGAATACATTTACAGTGCTTTGGTCRGTACATATTCAACATGAAGAAACATAAATAGCAATTGGAAAATAGGAATAACCCTGAACACATAGAAACCATGGGTACTTCCATGAAAGACACAGATGTCACAAAGATGCTCTAAATATTTTCTTACAATTTATTTTCTTGCCTTTTTTCACTTCTTGACAAGCTATTATATGCAAGTCATGCCAACTGCAAGGGATGACTCTGAGACCTGGGCACATAAAACTTAAAAAAAAAACCAAAAAAACATATGTTTAAYGGACAGGCACACACTTAACAAACAGGAGACTTTTGTACTTTTGTTACCCTTCCAGGAGACATTCTTTGCATAGGAAAGAGCTGTTAGATTTACTCACTGTTCAATATCCTACCAGCAGCAAGCAGCCTGTACGTGTGCAACACTTTTCCACACGGATTTTTCAAAGAAGCTTCCCAAGTAACATGTGCCTGTCTATTATCATTTTACATTTGCATTCATTAACAGATTGAGCTACCTGATGCAATTTAACAAGGTAAGAGTGAATCAGAGGCATGGTCTTTTGCCTTCTAACCTATGCCCAATCAAGCAAGATGACAATGATCTGAAGTACTACAAAAACATTAGTTGAAGTGAAATTTGGAATGCAGTACATAAGGATGAGCACAAACCTATTCACCTTTCAAYCTAACAAAGCCAAGAAAGTTTCCATGTTGCCAATTACCCTGTACATCCTAATTAAAAGTATTTTGATCTATAAATAGTAACCAAATATATTTTTTTAGCTAGAACTAATAATGTAATCTTGGAAAAAAGACCAAGCCTACAAAAGACAAAYGATTAAGCTCATCCTACATTCACTTTCTAGTTATCTCCTGGGGAAAAAAATCATAATCTTCCAGTAACATGAGAGATGCATATTGTACAGCTGTGATAGTTTCTATAATGAAACTCCAGCTATAAATGATAATATCTATAAAAGAAACCATAATTCTAAAATATATCTGAATATGTGTGTGCATATATATCTCTAAAAAAAATTATCTAATTTTCTCTTTTATACATATAAACATCTGGCTAATAAGCCCCATAAAAATGTTTCCTTACTTAGGACTAAGTTTTTAAATAACAGAGTTTTAAACAGTCCCYTAGAATATTTTTTAAACACTATTAAAAATTAATAACTATCTCAGGTTAATCAAAAAGCACACACAAAATAATTTAACATTATACAAATGTGGTTATATTGTTCAAAAAGTCCAATTCTCCCATCTGAAATGAAATAGAGACCAGTGTACCTTAGGGTGAATTATTCATCAATGTACAAATTCATTCTCTCTTTCCACGTAAATCTTCTGTTGAATTTAACTGCATTTCTGTATAAGCAAGAAACACAGTAAATCTGCAGAACTCTTGCAAAAAGGAGTCGTGTTTCACTGGATAAGRGCATTTTTGCTGGAGGGCAGCAAGTCAACATTTTATCACCATCTGAACACTAGCAACACCTGTGCCCCTGTAAGCTTCACACCTTGAAATAGCAGCAACATATTTGATGGGTTCAGTAGTAATTTTTCTTCCAGTATTGGATTAGACTACTTTGCATATACAAGTAAGTCCAAAGTCTAGTACTTGTGTGCAACATTAATCCACATTTACATCTGAAAACTCATAAATACACATGGAAACAAACGTGACAGAGAATTAAATCTCATTTTAAGTTAAAATGTTTTCAGTCCACATATGGAAAAAACAGTGAAAAGTGTAAGGGAGATGGACAGCAGAAACAAAAGAAAAGGGGTGCAATAACTAAAATTGTAAGAAGTAGGTCACTGTCAAAAGGGCAAGTTGCAAATAAAATGGATCAACAGAAGATGTAGACTGTACCATCTGCATAAATGCCTAAATGCAGCATTATTTTCACATCACATACAGTAGATGTGATTTCTAAGCAGCATATTATAACAGCTGGCATACTCACTAATAGATTTAYGGAAACTGAATGCTAAATTTCTCCAGCTCAGTGTACAGTAGTTATGCATTAGCCTTTAAAGCTCTTCATCAGCCTTTTAGTCAAGGTTACATTTCCATGGATATTTAGTATCCCAATAAGAAATTTACGGATATTCACCTCCAATGAACTTTCATACAATATAAATATATTAAATACCTTCTTAAGCTGAGTAAGTTCAATAATAGGAGTTTTCTTTTTGCTATTTCAAAGAAAACACAAGGAACTTTGTAGCTTCCAAAGTAAAGGGTGTGTTAAGGCAGTAAAAGATATGTGTTAAGGTTTCCATGATTGTTTATGATGGTCTATGTGAATAAAGCATATTACACACAATTGCTGTCATATATTTAACTATGTTACTTCGTTATACTGTACATGATTTAGCAATCTTCTYGAGAAATTTAAAGTGCCACAGTTCAAATGTGCTCATCTGTCTTTCCATGGGCTTCTAGTCCATTCTAGTTGCTTTCAGAAACGAGCCCTTGCTTTACTTAAAGAGCAGTTTTTGTAGGTGAAAAAAKAATTCATCCTTCACTGCTGTGCTAACTGGAATCCAGTGGTCGAACCAATCCTTCTTTGTAAACACGAAGAATAGCTTCACAAACAAATTTGTATTGACTCTGTGTAGGAAAGAAAACACAAAAATATTTATGGATGTTCAGTTAAATTGCTGATTAGACAGTATTATTGAATAGGACTAACAGTCCCATGGCTTCCTTTTTTCCTGAGCAATGACAGGAGAGGAGATGCAAGGATGGGAGGAGAAAATTCTACTTCTCCTGTCTGTGTTCACAGTAAACAAAGCTAACATTTACTCTTCCTTGAAGGACAAGCATTAAAAAATCACASACCAAGGAAAACACAGTCCCCAAATTTAAAAGAATACGTGCTTAATTTTCAGGGAATAAGAACTACTTGTAAAAACTGTGTGACTTTTTTGACTAAGTTTAACTTGAAGTTTACTTTCTGTACACATTTCATCTATTTTGGTTTTTTTTTTTTTTTTTTTTTTTTTTTTTTTTTTTTTTTTTTTTTTTTTTTTTTTTTTTTGGTATCTATGTAATTATTACCAGTATCCTGAGTTTGCCAGTCCTGCAGTAATGTATTACCAAGCACATTTAAGTTATGTGACCAAGACTGCATTTAAAGTTCCCATATAGGATATGTAGGTGCAAYGACCTAACTAAAACCCTTTCTCTTTCCTAAACCACCTACAGAATTGCAGAAGGAGTCACTTTATTTTCAATTCTTGTTCAGACCACACATCTCCTTTTGTAAYGGAAGGGGATCAAAACATTTCAAATCAATATTTTTGAAGATTAGCAGCCACATTAATTCTTTCCTCACCCAACATTTTGATCTCAATTAGATCTTAAAGTCTTCACAAATTAGAGTTTCTTTTCTGCATTATACTATTACAWAGACTATTTCTTCCATGATCTTGTGATGTAACTATTTGTTAAGAACAATTAGCYTGCATGCCTCTTTCTAAAAAATCATAAAAGGAGACATTATCAATAGGACTAGTGCAGAATTAAAAATCCAGGTAGCCTGAATAAATTTTTATGACTAASAAAATCCTGAGAACACAAGATGATTGAAATTTAAAAGAACTTGCAAAGATCAAAGCATCCTCACTTCTTCTGTGAAAGTTCTATTGTCAAAATCCCAAATGAATACTTTTCTCCAAAGTTCCATGCCATATATTCAGAGAAGCACAGCTTCACATTTTTCAAATCCCTTTTTCCATCTTTGAAATGTTCTCCCAGATGCCCCTTGCATTGTCAACTCACATCAACTCTTCAGAAGCATCTGGAAACATTCTCCCACTTATMTCCCAAAGGGCAGGACTAAAAGATAACATTTGGACCTTGAAGRACCTTAGGTTGCCTTTAAATACAGCAGTTAGGAATGTTAATCTTGTCCCCTAYGTTTTCTTTTAAATACAGRAAAACTTAAAGAAAACGGGAAGGTGAAAATTAGTTTTTTGCATCTCACTTTTCCTGGCTTTTCTTTCAACCTTTCAGTCCATTACTCCCACCTYCAATATCACTCTGTTCTTATTTCTTAATTACCTTGACTTTTCTCTCCATTGTTTTTGTCATTTCCRTATTTCTACTGCCTGAACAAGCCAGGTGTGGTATTTAGCTCTCYGTTCAATACTTCTGTTAACTTGTGTGATCAAGTTACTGAACAAATAAAAGAATGAGCACTTCAGCATTGCTTCCTCTGACTACTTGTTTTCTTTGCTCTTGTCTGTTACAAGTATTCTTACTGCTCACTCAGGGGGTAGCTAGTTCTAYTACCTACATCCTAAGCACTGCATTCTGCATTGCTAAAATATCTATTTTCTCTTTATTGGAACATAATGGTTAATATTTTTTTAAGGAAAGATCATATAGTTRTGCTAATTTTTTATAGCTTCATCATTTTGGTTGAAGCTTTTGTTTTGCTCTTCCTGGTAAACAATTTACTTTGAGAAACTACAGCTTTCACATGATTAACAATAGACACTAAACTGGCCAGGTAATAGCTCTGATGGGTCCATTCTTACTGAGTATGCCCTATCTGATATTAATTCACAAGATGCATCTGGCAAATTGTATCACCTTAGAATGGAGCACACACATAATCCCCACAGGGCAGCTGAACATGCTTCAGGTAAGGCTATTAAAACTGAACAATCCCTTTATTACAACTGAATAATCTCTAATGGCTCCTTTCAGAAACCCTAAGTGGAATATCAAATATAAGCAGTGAGGGTAGCTGACATGCAGGAATGGGAATGCAATGGAGTACCCAGAACCAGATTGAGATATTTACATGCAGGTCTCTGGTATTCTGCTTTCTCACAGCTGAGTGCTTGCTTCTGTGTCTCATTTACAGCACAGTATGCCGGTTTTGCTCACCGGCTTTTCACAACAYTATCTGCCTGCTTCAGAAATAACAAGTGAATTTATTTTCACAGCATTGCTGCTACAGATCATCCCTTTCCTGACTGTGCTGACAGCAAACCTTGTAACACAGCAAGCAAGGTAAAGAATCCTATTTTAGACWTTCGTTTCCCACACTGGGGGTCTGACTGTAGATGTATTTATTACTATCCTCTGTATTCTTCAGTTATGCCAAAGTGTGAAGTGAAAGGACAATTCTGGCTGATTTATCTTGTAACAACAGGAACTCGGTCTTCTGCCAAGCTGAAGTTTACTTCAGGTTTTTACATCTGATTCTCAAGAAGACCACCTATAGCATGTTGAAGCTTGAACTTGCTTAGGTAATTTTAGAAACTGAGAGGTGTAGACAGGTGCAACTCCAGAAATTAATACTCAGCTTCCTTAAACTTGAAGCTGGTGTTCTTCATCTCGTGACAACTTTGTCATCACCTCTGCTACCACTTTAGCCAGGAACAGGTAGGGGACCCTTCAAACAACTYCCTTATCAACCATACAGTCCCAGCTCTCTTCCAGAGAGTGCACTCCTACTGCAGTGAACATGAGTCCCAGCAGCAAGTGCAGACAAGCTCTGCTCAGTGAATGCTCTAATGGTACACGGGCAGCTGGAGATCCTGACACTTTTACAGCCTTTAAGAATGCAGGATTTCCCCCACATCTAGTCATAATGCTAGTTCCTGCAGCCATTAACCTGTTAGGGAATAGAATTTGTCTTCTTAAGTTAACTTTTCTGTKGTCAAATAGATTTGATTTCAATGATTTCAGGCATTTTCTTTGGAAAATGAGACAGAAATGYCCAGTTTTACTGTTGGCTTTCTGTGTCTAAACACCCTTACTTCCATTTCTCCTGGGGCATTTAGCTCTCCAAGATAACCCACAAGCAGAATTCTTGTCATCCAGCCTCTCCTAAAGAAAGAACAATCTCTCATCCTTCATCCTTGGTCTCTAAGGTCAATATGCTCTTTTCCAAACCTGACACAAARTAGCTCTTGTGATCTCATCTTTGAGTGACTTTCATTTAAAAATCACTGTCTACTTTCATGTTTTAGTTATTGATGTTACACAGCCTGCCCTTTGTTTTTTTCAAACTGGGTAGAGGCAAAATTTCAAAAAAAAAATCCATAATATGTTCCTATAGAATTTCTATTCTAAAGTGTTCTATTGAAAAGCCACTTYCTGTCTTTCAAACCAGGCTACAAACACTATGATTTTACCTACAACTTAATAACTTCCTATAATGCTCTCTACTAGAAAGAAAAACAAAAATTTATTCCAGTTTCTTGCAGAGAACTTAGACAAAGGACCATGAAAAGATGATCAGTACCAGTCTGACTCTGGGCATTCTAACTACTTACAATGTATAGAAATCAATTATCTTTTCATGGCAAGATAAGAAATATTTAAAAAATAGATAAATACATACCTCACTAGCAAAACAGCCTTTGCCACCGTGCTATGTTATGCTAAGATTATGAAGTCTGAAATATAATGGGCAACTGAAGATTCATAATACTAGATCCTTTAAAACATTTTTGRATCTGTTTTGTAACTTGCCAAGTGCAGTGTATACCCAGAAAATGATGCTTCCTCTCCATCACTTACTGATGTTTGCACCATCATAGCTCGYTGGTCTCGCATTTTCCGTACAATATCCAGTGGATAAACAGGCTGGTTCCTTTCAATTAAACACATGGCTGTTTCCATAGTGACCAATACGCCAGTGCGACCGATTCCAGCGCTGTGAATTGCAACAGGAAAAYAGTCTATAAAATTAGGTTTTTGCAGTGCACCATATCACAGTCTTACTACTAGCTAAACAGCCTTGAAAACTACAGGAAGACTCTAGTAAAATTCAAAGAGAGTGCAAAGTTTATTTTTACAGCAACTTCAGTACTATTTTCTGGCAATTATTAAAAATAGAAGATTTTTTAATACAAATAAAACTAAAAGCTCAATAATAATGCATTTTAAAACAACTATAGCTGCTCAAATTRTACTGGTTTGGTATTTTTGTCTTTAAAAAGGTAAGATCTAACTAACTGCTTTTGTGACACACACTTGAACAGAAGGAAAAAAAAATTGCAGTACTATTCATGATGGGATGACAACAGTGGCAGAGGATAAAAACCAGAGAATGAATTAAATTGCASATTATCAGAACTGCGATAATTATGTGACTAAGCCATTTCACCAAAAGGTTGAAGGAGAAAGGGAGACGAAGTAAACTCATCCTTGAGATATATCATCAGTGTTTCTGCCTTCAGCAGTAAATGCTCATATTGCACAGTTTAACATTTTCAGCTAATTCAAGGAATCTCCTGCCTTACAGACAAATTTTTCACATCAAATGCTTATTCTAAGGCTGAAGCAGATCTATAATCAGAAKTTTAAAACACAAGTACCTGCAGTGAACAAGAACTGGCTCATTCTTTACTCKTTTTGGCCTCATAAAGGTCACAAACTCCAAGAAGTCCATGGAGTCATCAGGAACGCCATGATCAGGCCAGGCTACRTACTGGAGATGGGTTATGGTGTGTTGTTGTTCTGTCTAAAATACAGAAAAGTTTTCAAAAAATGTCCAGTGTTATTACTCCTTTATTAATGCTTACCAGATAGAAGTCCTATGTTTCACCGCAAGAGTTTTCTGCAGATGTAATGGTGTAGAAATTTTTGTGATTTTAAAATTCATTGTGAAGTACCAACATGTAATTCTTAGAAAGAATTCAAAAGGCATAACATTTTCTAAATAAATGAGGTATCAAGTTTAACTTTTGTGATCTAAACGTTCTAATTTTTTTTATTTATTGACTTTGACATCATGGATTCACCTATGATAAAACGATACAAGATATAAACATAATAGCACCACACAACAGTTCAGAACTTGTTGGAAGAAACAACTGAGAACAGGGGTTTAGGACTATACAATTTATTGTAAATATGTCTGTGCACACTCACAGACTCAGGTATAATAAAGTTGCCTGCAATCTTTGCTAAATCTGGTTTCTTTTATAAAATAATATGTATGTATCATTCATACATACATGCTCATTGTACATATATGAATGGCCACAGRAAGATACTTTTCTGTATGGAAGCAATATAATTAGTTAAAATATTCTGTTGTACAAAGAGTTCTTTTTTTGAATCAATTATATGTAAAAACCCACGRTTTTACAGAAGTTCCTTCAGTTTAGCTTTTCCTTAACTTTGATTATGAAATCACTCAATCATCTTTGCATTCAGATTGGGCTCAACTGATACATTACAGATGTAACTAATGATTAGGGTGGGAAGGAAAAGACCTAAGGGAGAGCTCTGCTGCATCCTGCAGCGAGGATCTCACTCTTTACAAACTGAGACAAGTCTTCACTTTCCTTTAATCCTTCCACATGTTTTACAACAGTTTAGCTTTTACCTGCATTTTATTTATGTCCATTACCAGACACCTTTGACACCCAACTGAAATAAAACTCTCCTTTATCACTGGATTAGTCTATAAAAGCTGGCCTTTCCCTAGTGGTCCACACAGGAATGTTTTTGTGATGACAGGGACTTTAAAAAGGTTTTTCCCCTTTTCTCTTTCACYCACAACTGCTGAATTATAGGACTTGTTTTAAGTGCCTTCAACTGCTTGTTTTTCCTCTCCCATTTGAGGATGTTCCACTCCCAGAGAAGAGGYTAGTAGGATGAAAAAAATAGAACTACCTATGTACTCCCTATGCACTAAGTAGAGTATTAGGAAATGCATTTATTCCAGACTAAGCAATTGCAGAAATTTACAACTGCCTCCAGGGACAAAACCAAAAAAAATTACACAGCTCATACTTTGCTTCTTAAAGGCAGAGCCTGAGCAAGCAACAGTTAAAAGGTCCAGCACAAGGCCCAAGTGGACAATGTAATCTAACATTAATGACCAAGCTCATTGTAATACAAATTGCATTGARATCTATCATTCAGGTCATCAAAAGACAGACAGTGACCAAGATGCCTGCATGAAAAAAGATAGCCTTTTGCTACCCAGCTCTGCTGAATAGAAAAAGCTGACCTTGATCAAATGATTATCGTTCACATTTTTCTGAAGTGCCACAGATTGAAAAAAATACAAAAAGCTTGTSTAGAAAATGTCATTAAAAAGTCCTCCTTTGAAAATCTGAACATGCTTAATCAGAACCTCTTCAAAAGGGAAATAAGATAAAGCAGCAATTATACATAACAGTTTGAGCTGATTCTCTGAAATCAGAGACAGTTGAATTACAGCATCCTGCGGTAACTGATTAATTTGAAAATTATCCAAGACTGACTATCCAGTTGCCTTCCATGTGCTTCAAGAACTTAAAGCTATACAACATGGAGAAGTGTCAGTGGCACACCTGAGAAACACTGACAGTGATCTGTAGAAGAAAAAAAGTCATTTTACAAGCTCAGAACAAAGGAAAGACCTACTTTTTATCTATCAGTATCTCAGACTCAAATAGAGTTGCATTTAGTTAAATAGTTTACAGATATTAAGTACAAAAATCATGTTACATAAGAYTTTTTCAGAGTGAGAATACAGTTTAAGAACATGCACTTAGTYCTCAGAGCTGCTGCTTTTGGTGTAAACATCTTCAATTTCTGTTATGTGTACTAATCATCCTCAGAGATAGATACAGTTTTTTGTTAGTTTTTTTCCAGGTATGACTTGAGCTTCAGTGCTGTTTTCTAATTATTTGTTTTTTAACATAACCAATTTTGATTCTTTTGGTTGAGCTCTTCTGAGATGATCTAAAATGCTGAAAATTGACTGTTCTGCCACTTGCTTYTCAAAATGTGTAAGTTTTTTAAAACACTATATTTTATTAGAAATTTAAACCCAACATAAATAGTAAATATATTCATGTATACTAGAACTAGTTTTTCTATATCTAAACTTTAATGTCTCTTGCAGAAAATATCAAAACAGTACTCTGACGAAAGTCCAGAGTTTTGAAAGCCATTTTTACTGAGATTTTTGTTTGTTTGTTTTTTAACGTAAAATCTTCAAGTCTAGTGAAAATCAGTTCTTAAATTCAGAAAATGTCAGCCAAATAAYACCCCATGTGGAAATAACTTACATTAAAAGACCATCACAGTTACAAAAATCTGCCACTCATATATGAAAAAAAAATGCTAGAAATGTAGTTACTGGTTCCATAGTTAGCCCTGCAGTATATGTTCTGTTAGCAATACTGATTTTTAAACACTATTCCTCCCAGATCCTGCTTCTTGATACAAACCTGGTAATGTACCAAGGTTACAAGAGGTAATTTCTCATTACATTCAAGTTACTCATCAAACCATTATTCTCTGAAACTCAGTTTAAGTMTTTTCTAAACTTTTTTCTTTTTGCACTGAGTTTTTCAATGACAGTTATCCTAATGACTGATAAATGTATAGAWTTTCTTCATAAAAATGTGGCTTTATTAGTCCTGTTTTATGAGTCCTAACTTACAGAAAGACAGCAAGAGCTGTTTATGGCTTGGTTGCTATTTTTGCCTAACTTGACCTTGTACACCTTGCTGTTCCAAAGTTATTTAATGATTTTTTGCATTCACATGGTCTGATTTAAATGAAATGTTTGTATTTGGTATTTGCTCAAATCAGCTTATAAATTATGGATTCAGAAAAATTARCCCAAACCACAGACTCCAGTGACACTTCAGGATTATGTAATTTGCCCAGTTTGTCATCAGCCTTTTGGCCAACATTTAGCTTCTTCATGGTGTTGATCCACATTTACTTAGTAAGGAGCTACAGAGACCATGTTTGTCCACAGCTGTTTGTCCTTGTGCTTCTGATAATGGTCATTTGCATTAYAGCAAAGTTGTTTGTTGTTCAGCAAAAACCCCCCCAAAAAGCTATGTRCTTGTCCCCACCCCTCCTGGACAAATTCAAGACATCTAACTACAGCAGCAGCTTCACTGTGGTTAAGCCAAYATCCTCAATTTTGTTCTGAAACACATGATCTTTTCCAGTAAGTCTGTCATTTGGGCTGAAAATTCTGACAAAGAACAGGGCAGTCAGAGGTAATGCTTCAAATGGCTGCTTCAACACTTGCAAAACAGCTGTACTGTCAAGACCTTCAGCCACAAAAATATCCATTCCTCAWCTTTCTGCAGTTTGCAGCTTTGCTTATTATAACTACATAAAAAGGTAAACTTCCTCATTTCATTCCTTAAATGACAGACTCTCCCTGATTAATAAAAGATTGGTGTCCTCTTCAGAAAATCAACATACAGAGCTTAGAATYATAATACTCATATAGAAACAAGRAAATTTAAGCTTGAAATGTAAACRTTAATTCTTACTTTTCTTAGAAACCACACRAGAGATTTTGCATTTTAATGTTTCAGCTAACGTCCTTTTTCTGTATAGGTTATAATATAATCTCCAATAATGAGAAAAAAAAATCACAATGTAAAACTACATTAACCCTGAAATGGCCTTTTTATCTTCTAAGCAGGAAAGGTTGTGGTCTTTGGCAGGAAGCTTCACAAACTTACCTTGAAAGCTGAGTCTGAATGATCAGGGTTAAGTCCCAGTTTCTAAAGAATAGATACTCTAGCAAGTGGCATTTGGCATTTCTTGGACAAGTGTTCACACATGATTATGATTCTGTACACACTGGCCATAACATTTTAACTTACTTTTGTTCTTTGGCTCTTAATGGTTCAAAGCCAGTGAGAKTTAATGGCCAATCCTATGTTGTATGGCATTTATCTTAAAGGAAACTGAACGAAAGTTTGTTTCAGGCTTCTCATGCTCTCTTCTTCAAGGATTATAAAGAAATATGTATCTTGTTTTACAAAAYAATGCACAGTGTGATGAACTCTGCACTCACACTACATGATTTCTTTTGTTTGGTCTGTTTGTTCTGGTCCCAAAGTGTTCTGAATATTTTCTTAAAAAATAAAAAGCCTCAGCCAACTTCAAAACCCCCCAAACTTAGTGCTACACTATAGCTTTCAATCTCGGTCTTGAAAAGAAAAGGCAGGAAATTAAACCTTTCTTCATTTTATGAGACTTAGAAAGATTACAAACAAATAATTTGAGAGACAGGGACCAAAACTTTGTGTACTTACAATACTACATTTATGAGGTTAATTTTTTCTGTGCAGACATTCAAGTTTATCAGTTCAAGATTAATAGGCCAAAATACAGAAATAAATAGCATGCTGCTCCCTGACTGAGTGGTTTCTCATTSCTAGAAACTGAAATACTGCAAATGATCTTAACTGAAAGACCTTAACTGAAAGACTGACTGCAAATTAGCCTTTGGTCAGTATCCAGTGATTTCTTACACATCTTATGATAGCACAAATACTTCATATTTTTAGAAAAAAACTATGACCATAGAATTTTGGAAAAGAGATGAAGATGGGAAACATAAGAAATACAGGTCAACCTAGAAATGAAAACCAAACCTCAATTGCTACAATTCAGGTTATGGGAAGTCTAGATGTGACCTGAACTAAGATTTCACATCACAAGATGACATGCTGTATTTTGCCTTCTCTTTGCTTTCTAATTCACTAGACATTAGCATGGAAGTATTAGGAGCTATGGAATATATGTATCTTTCATAAATTGAGCACATTTCAATGGAGATATGTATGGATTTTTTATTTTTTAAAATCTGGCTTAGGACAATGAAAAGGAACTGGTGAGATTCTGCGTCTTCTCTCAAAACAACATTATTATGCTTCACTTCTTTATTATTTGTTCTAGCTGCACGTGCCATTAACCCAGTGACCCATATTTCATCCTTGAAAAAGCAGAGTTATTTAGGAAAAAACTCTCATTAGAAATCAAAGTACTTGTGGAGAGTCAGTGATTGCAAAATTGYTTAGAGAAAGGCACTGAACTTCCTTATGATGCTTACTGCAGTATCTGGACAGCAGAAAGTATTACAGGGCTTCCAAGAGTCTCTTTGGAGAAGCTTAGAGCAATAATCAAACCATTGATCCATTTACTATACACATATTCTATTTTAAAAAGCGTGTGTGTGTGCATAGACACATATGCATATGGACACACCGAGATATACATTGTCAGACACMAAGTCTGCATCTCCCATCTGTAAATGTATTTGTTCAGCCTATTTAGGGATAAAGAAAGGCAAAGGGCATTTACCTCAACATTTGTAATGACCATTTCTCTGACCACATAAGCAATCGTGCAGTCTTCAGAGTGGCATCTGACACGGAAGCAGCCATATTCCATTACATCTGGTGGATCAGGCCAATACTGRTGACATTTGGTCTGTAAAGAAAATTAAGCACATGTCAAGACTGCATACAAGCACTTCTGTTTCCAGCTATGTCATAGTTCAGGGAATTCAAGGAGTGCTATAAAATCTGTTCTGGTTTGCTGTGAGATTTTTTCATCCACATTGAAAAATAACAAGAAAAAATAGAGTAAAATTCTGCATAAACTTCTGTTTTTAATGATTTATAATAAATATTCAGGTAAATTGGATGCATGATGCTTTGTCTGCTGTTTGTATGAAATTTCTAAAATGACTTCTCAAGGCATAATGTGGGAGAACAAATATGGATTTATACAGTCTTAAGAGAAGTGGAGAAGCATATGGGGTAAATTTATAACTAGGTTTAGCGAGCAATAGCAGGCCACAGCAAAGGCAGAGCCACACTTTCCTTGAAAGTGAACAATGAAAGGACAAGAGTCAACTGTAAAGATGCAAGAAGGGTAATTCTGTTTAGATGTTGGCAAAAAAATGCCAGAAACACGGTCAAGCACAGAAAGAAGAAGTTCTGTGAGAATGTGGTATCTCCACCTATGGATATAATTCAAACTTACACGTGACACTGCAACCTGCACAAAATTCAAAGGTGGTTTTATCTGTAACTTTTAAATTGATACAGAGTAGCAAGAACTGCAATTTTTGAAGTGTTAAAATTTCTTAATTCTACCTTTAATAGGGCTCAATTTTCAGAGGCTTGAAATCCAAATTATAACCATTATGACKGAAATTGTTACTGTGGTAATTTATCTTAACTACTTTCCCCTTCAAATTTAAGCCAAAACAATGTATCCATCTCTAAAAAAATGAACATTACCGTGGAGAAAAAAAAATCCAATCATACAAAACACCATTGGAAAGAGAGAGCCTGGAATGTAAAACCTCCAGGGACTGGGAAAAGGTTTGGCATTTGCCAATGGGGATACTCTTGATGAGAACATATATATTTTTCTATCTCTGAAAGTTCACCCACAAACTGGGCAAATGCAAATAATTTCTGAAATTATTAGGRAAAAAAAAAACCTCAGAAAAAGCAYAGTGTGTAAAGGTACCAGCAGAGTGATTAGAGGACATCAACAACTACCGTGAAATTTCCAACTGCCTGGATGAATTCCAGGCTATTACTAATCTGCGTTTCTCCTCAATACAAGAAAATGAATGCAGCAAAACAGCCAARAGATGAAGGGAGCATTTTTAGGCCAGGTGAGGTTCAACAATGTCTGCTTCCATGAGCATCTAMACAACCTGACCATGGTTAGAACCTAATCGTTGTTTAATTGCTGTTCCTTACATCTCAATCTTTATGCTGTTTAAGAGCTCAAATACTTACTCCCTTGCTTTGTAAAAATACTGGATTTTGACTGGGATGCCAAATAAATTTGATAGTGTAGGATAGATCAAATAGGAGKTACAGATAAAGGCTACAGTGAAGGCATACAGGAGTTCACACTTTCTCCACTTCTTAAAAAACCCAACCGTTGAGTTTTGAGCTTTTAAAACTTCAAAACCAATACCTTCCCATTTAATCTAAAAACTTAAYATTTAAAACTACAAAGGACACATTAAACCAAAATACACCAAAATACACCAAAATTTTCACTTTACTATTCCAAAATTCAAGGAGAGAGAATTTATCTAAACATAATTAAAAGAATTATCAGAGCAATTTGAGAAAAAAACCTGAGATGTAAATAAAAATAAGCAAGCTAAATTCTGACCACCACTAGTAAATACCATAATGGCAGACTCCKTTTTTACAGATAGACTACAAGGTTTGTCAACCCACTCAATGTTTCCAAACATTTGCTGAATCTTTTGAAGAGAAAATGCAACGTGGAGCCAAATACTTGGGAGGAAAAATGACAGCATGTAGTACCTCTCTGATCAGCACAACACAGTTAATGCAGTGATTTCTGTTTATCAGACAGCTGGTTTGTTTTCAAAGCAGTGYAGCAAAAAGCAGGTTGAGGACTACCTGTTCCCTCTATGTAATTCAGAAAGCATGGCCTTCAGAAGAATGATTCAAGAGAGTAAGTTTGCCTCTTTCAGGGTTATTCAATCATAACAATTGAAACAAGTTCAAAGGTACAGCACAGTTCTTTAGCATACAGAGAACCTGGGCACTTACCCGTCCTCGTTCGGTGAGAGTTGTTAACATGATGATCAGTGACAATTTGTGATCCCAGACTACTTGCCAGAAGTGTGCACATGTGTGTGGAAGAGGCCCCTGAGTAGCAATGTACCGGTTCACAATGCCAGCAGAAGGAATTTCCATCTACAGAGGGAAAGAAAATCCTTTGTTAAGTTCRCCTTCACTATTCAAGTGCTATTTAAACTCAGCATTTCATTCAAACAGGAAGCTTTGAGGGAAGATCAGGCAAAAAGCATGGTAGTAAGACAATCAAGATCACAATTTGTTATGTGAAAAGCTATTAAATCATTAATTTAAAACAGATATAACGTACAGATTCCATAGTCCTTCAGTCTGTCATTCTATGAACAGATTAATAGCGAAAACATACTTGAAAACTTGAAACTGCAAAGGTCTCTGAATTTTCTTTAATATTTAGTTAGGAATGATAGCAGGGTAGATACACCTAAGGTACACTAGCAAAAAATGTTTACTGCCTGATACTAAACAGAGGAAGTTAATAACTGACTCTCTGATTTAGGAGCTTACCCTATGTATCTGACACCGACACWCACATTTTCCCCTCTTTTCCCTGATTCCCAACCTACACTTGATTGATTGGGGAAATCAAAGTTCTAGTTTATCTTCTGGATCCTTAAYAGAATCTTAGAACCTCTAGGTGGTTCTAGAGGGAAAAAGGTTTAGTTTTATTCAGTCAACCTCTGCATTTGAAGTGTATGGAAAAACAARAAAAAAATTACTGGTTAATGACTCTGCACATAACCACATGGCAGCACCCACTATGCATTAGGATGGTCACTTACATCACAATAGACACTATCTTTCACATTAAGAAACATTGCATCTTTTGCATTTACAAATCCTCAAAATCAAAACAAAATTAAAATTCCTTAAAAAAGCCAAATTTAGTCTGCTTTAGTAATACAGAAAGTGAGTAAATGCAGGTTTGTATGACTTACATTCACATAATTTGCATTAATGTAATCTTCATCTCCTTGCARTATTATCCTTGTGGCATCATCTGCACATACACACACACAAAGAMAGAGGGAATAAAATTAGCAATTAAGAGACATGCTTCCCCTCTATTAAGTTAAAAAAAAAAGCTGAGGAATTGCAGAGACACAAACAGCAGAATACAAACCAGAATAAATTACCTTTTAGAAAATAAAATGAAAAATTATATGACTTCAATTATATAATGAAATTTTCAATCAGCAAGTTCAATAYAGCAGTTTTAAAAAGCAAAATAGGCAGAAACTGTACTTTAGACTCACAAGGTAGAACATCTTTGTATCTATTCTTGTCCATATTCTGAGGTACCTTTGCACATGTAACAGMCAATCCTGGTTTCTTTCTATAAAGTTGCTGCAAAGTAGAATGAAAAATTATAGGATTTTGAGGGGTGTCATTATGCTATACACACACTAATTACATTCACACAAAAATACATAGACTGAAAAAYGTTACATATTTTCTTTAATGTTTTTCCTATCCTTCTGCAAAATTCACTTGAGAGGTTTTTACAWTTAACATGACAAGAATTTCTATTATTGCTAGCCCATCAGAATTGCTAAAAGAATTTCTAGGAACAAAAACAAAAATAAAAACAGCATGTGAGCAACACTGATATAAACTGTTACTCTGCAAGTTTGTCTCTTGCTCATAAAACTGCAGACCAGAAGGACAACAACGGTTGAGAGATGAACAAGGAGCAATGAATGGCATCAGAACAAAAAAATAGCTGCAGACTTATTTTCTAGAATTAACTATAATACARAAATTTCAGAAAAAGTTTTATTCTCTAGACTAAAGCCATCCATTCCAATCCTGCAAGAACCTAAAAACCCCAAATTTCAATGTAGCCCAATCTCTCAACAAGTGACTTCTTTGGTTTTGGGCCAACCCCTATGCTGCAGACTTTATCTGAAGAACATGTGGGCATATCAAATGGGGTGTATAACCAAAATTTTGAGGTTKGTGTTAGATAAATGGTTGGACTCCATGATCTCAGAGGGCTTTCAAACCCTAATGATTTATGCTTCTAAGTACACCAAACAGGACAAAAAAAACCAACAAAGGTATAGAGGGGAAAAAAAACCAACAACAAAAACCCCAAGAAATATAAAAACAAGAACTATAGCTTCAGTGTATTAAATTTACATGAAAGCACCTTACAGCTGAGTYATTAACCTGGCTGTGCCAGAGTTTTACATCCTTCACTGAACACTTGCAAAGAGCTCATTATATCTTACATSTTTAATGAAGATTTTGAATATTGTTCCATACATAAGATGGAATGAAATAGGAAGCTAAAATCCCCTACTTTCTGGTTGAGAGAAAAAAACAACACACAAAAATATTTATTCTACTGAGATTTACTGGACCTTAAAACTCTGTATCACAGCTCACCGCATTTTTCAACKTATATAATATAAACAAGTCATGTGAGAAGAGCACTTGATAATATATGTAATGGAAAAACTTTTATCTGTTACAACTCAAGTTCCACTTTACTAGAGCCAGGCTGCAATTTCTTCCTTTTTTTTAGGAAGACAAGGAAGAATAATTTAAAGTCAAGTAACTATTCTTGAGCTTCACTGTTGCCTGACAAACAGGCATTTGCTATTGACAGACTTCTTAAATTCCGATTAAATGGAGGAAGATATTCTGGAAAAACTTGATTATTCACAGTCTATTGGCTAATTAGTTACTATTTTATTAAAGTGAATGGAGAGTTYGAGAGCCACCAAAGCTGATGAGGAGATTCTGCAATTGGCTCTACTTCTGAAGATCTTTAAACAATGAACTCAAAGCACGAAGGCCACTAAGCTGTCCCCAGGCTTATTAGATTCCAAAAAGGTTTTGTGCTTTTTTTTTGTAATATCCTTTTATAAACTCTGTCATAAAAGAAGGGTTAAATATAGGATCAAATATCATATGAATATCATAATATCATATATCAGAGTATCATAAAAGATCAAATATCCTATGAAGCTCACTACAGGAAATTTGTACACAAATTTAGTCAACAAATTTGACAATTAAGAAAGTATTGAAAGGTCAGTTCACATCTTTGAGCTACTGCTTCAATAGCCAACAGATTCATCATAATTGCTGCATTGCATCCAATGCTATGGATTTTGAAAAGCAGTTATAAACCATTACCTAAAATTCCTTAAAAACAGAGGAATTTCGATTTTCAGAAATCTTGCAAATAAAGCAAATCTCATAAAACGAGTGATTATACAATAAACAGTACCACAACTCTTCAGCCAGTACCATTAAATTTTATAGCTTAAAAAAAATAGTGAAGAAAAGAATATCAAAAAGGGGAAAAATTTTATTGCTGTTCTACAAGTTTTCAGTGAGACAAAGGGTTTCTCCAGAACTCAATGCCAACTTTATTAATTATAATAAACTAGGGTTTATTCTACTATAAATGATGCCATAAATCTAAAGAGCTACTATAAATGTTAGAATCCACAACAGTAAAGCAACCAAAAACATACATATGCTGCACTCCCTTGCCATTAGAGACGCAGATGAATTATCCTGTGTAATTTCTTACACGAACATTGCAGGAACTAGTTTAATAAAATATAAAACATTTTATTAGTCAGTTTTATATGACATTCCTTGCAAACACATTGAAGAATATAGCAAAAAAACCAAGTACAAGACTGACCTCTGTCAAAATCCTACTACCATACACCATAAAACAACTGCAGAAAAAACACTAATTTAGTGAACTTTAGGTGTTTGAGCTAGAAACACATTAATTCAAACACATTTTTCTCAGCAGATGGTAGTTTGTGTAAGACTGATAACACATTCTTCCCTGTTCTAAGTAGTGAAGTGTGAAACTGACAGGYGAGTCAAATTGTTGCTCTCTTGAGGTAAGAGTGAACAGGAACAACAAGATTTGCAATTAATTAAAACCCYTACATTAGTCGCTGGTCACAGCTGTTGGTCTATATTAATGGCATTTTAGAGCTGAATTTTGCCTACCTCAAACTGAATAAGGACAGTCCCACTTTCCAGTCCTCTTCTTAGCTGCTCCATAGACTCCTCCAGTGTGTCACCACCATATTCCGAACAGACAGGAAGAATAGATTCTGGGAGAGTGTGGGAATCAGCTTCATCTTCTGATTTRGGCTCCACAAACTGTTGAACTACTGAAAGATGTGTAGAAAGTTATAATCCATTACATAGGAATTAATGTGTTTTTAACAGATATAAAAATTTACCAGCTTGAAATAACAACAGTTTGCAAAACCTCAGCAAAGCAAATAGAAACACATTTAACTTCATTTTTTTGTACTATACTACTGTGAAAACTATGAAGAATAAAACATCCCTAAGACTTTTCTGAGAGAGAAACTCAAAGTGCCTATCTGTGAAGGCAAAGAACTTTAATTCCAAGCACAAGGAGGTTTTTGAAAACTTGTCTTATAGAATGAATGGCTAAATAGGCCAACATCCACCAYGGTAAAAAACAAAGGAGTTTTGTCTAAAAAAAGTGGAATATCCCTACAAGAAATTTGTATAGGTTTGGACCCACAACAACAAAACAAAGGCAAAAATCCTTACATCACACTCYTTTGCCATTAGAGAAGCAATGGAATTATATTTCGCAATTTCTTACACTAACATTGAAGGAACCAACTAAAATGAAAAAAAAAATCATTGTTCTGTTTTCCACACCATGCCTTGCTAACATTTTGTCATGAAGAACATGACAAACTTTGATCAAGTAATATGCATGGCAGTTCTGTGTCTAAGAAAGGTATTGTACCACCAAACATGTCCAGCTGTGGTTATTCTCTGCAGTGATCAGAACAGCTCAATAGCTGCCAAACTTCAGAAAACAGGGAGCTGTTCATACTCATGCCTATACAAAATGACTGGTATKGGGCCACAGGTTATCTTTAGATAAAAGCAGATTTGTCTCATCTGCAAGTTGGAAGGGGACTAGAAAAATTAAACTAAACTCTGCATAAAGCCAGTGGAAAACAAAATAAAGAGCSCATCTGTCTTCCTAGAAACACAAGAAGTTTTAAATACAGCTGATGCTACAGAAGTACATATCACTCAGGCTGTTTCACTCCCTCCTGTTTMCCAGTAATGTGTAATCCTTTAAGATTTTTATGTCTTCATGTAATCAGAAACTGTAAATTTGTGTGTTATGGTCTTACCATAACTCTTAAGGAAAGCAAATAATAAATTAGGAGTTTCACATCGTCTGAAAGCTTTTGGGATCCTTTTGGGATCTACATGCATTTAAATATGGAACGCGCAAAACCAAGCGGGACGATTCCCCATAGTTTAGATATACAGGTTTAAGACTCTGCATATTTCAAAGATTGTCTCCTCTTTGCGGGCAGCAGTTCAGCAAGTGGCCAGCATAGGTTCATCTCAATATTTTCAGAAAATGTTTACTGTAAGAATGACGTGAGGAGCAGCCTATCTGACTTGCTTCATCACATAATTGTGCAGGGGAACAGCCCAAGAGTTTTTGCAAACCTGCAACTGAGGGATTCTGACATTATGCTTTATTTACAACAAAACCCCAACACACCACATCACCAAAAAACCCTTTCAAGGGACTGTTTACYCTCCGGATTTTTAGACCAAAAAATAAGAAGAAATTCTAACTTGCTAGATTCTTTGTTGCAATGGTAAGAACCTATAAAGTTTAAACTACTTGTACTRTTAATTCAAATGCTGTGAGACCAATGTTTTGCACAGGCCTGTTCCAAGTGCACTAAGAAAATGTTAATGCAAACATAAGAGGGTATACCACCAAGCATAAGAGCAAGAGTCTCAAAAACATTAGAAGTGAATAAAATTAGCCCAGTTACCTTTCCTCCTGACCAAAAGTGCAAGTTCTCTTGTGTGAGATTCTCTGCTGGCTTTTATGAACATGACCACCTGGTCATGTGTGTGCTCTGAGATATCTCGGCCATTAATTAATACTATCTGATCGCCTTCATTCAGCTTTGGAATGCATTTATCAGCCTGTTTCAAGACCAAAGAAACACATTAATGTCATCACATCCAGTTGTGCAAGCAGGAACGTATCAGGATATTAAGTACATCATGTAAGCAAAGTCTTCACAGTTCTCCTGACAAAGTTTCATATTCTGTATCAGAAGCTCTATCAAGGACTCGGCTCTAAAGCTGTCTCATGCTTCAAAGCCTCTCTAGCAAGATAARGAACACTTCAAAGAGCATATTGATAGCTATAAAAGGAATTCACGTTAATCAAACAGACATCACCAGATTGCTCTCACTGATCTGTATTTCAGACTCCAAACCTCAATGACCACTGAATTTCTGAAGAAAGTATTTTAGGCACATAAGATAATCCAGTTCACCTTTAACAGAGTGAATACTCAGCAGTCCAAGCATGATTTTCATGAATGTGACTTAAGTAACATGACATTCCCCAGGCATACACTTTTTAAATTTCAAAGAAATCCATACACAATTCACATCTTTGTAATTTCTCAGAATCTTGTTTGGTGGATATCAAATGATATATAGAAAYAAAGAACATTCTTCCTCTCTTTATTTACTGATAATTTTAACAAGAAGATGCAGGTAAGTACTCAACCTCTGATGCTCAAGTTGCCTACAATGGTGAAAAATTCTTTTGCTACCTGTGCAGCAGGGAACACTAAAACGAGGTTTTTACCATCTCAAATGAAAACCCACATTATGTGTTGACTTGGATATTGCAATTTAGACTAACTGCTGGACGCCAGGGTTTGTTCAGCTTTTTATCTGCCACACTTCTTAGTATGCTTACCTCTATGTCCAGCAGAAAGCAACTAAAGCTATGGCCAGAATACGATGATAATGTTATAAAGACAACTAAGGGACTAGAGGAAATTGATATTACCACCTAATAAATAAGAGATGGAAAGAAGAAGTGATAATGAAATATCAACAAGAAGAAAAATGCAGAATAAAAAAAAAAAAGAGCCAAGAACATGAAGAAGATAAATTGGGAGTCATTTGTGCCAGAGAGTAAAGTAAAAAAAAAAAAAAAAAGAGCCAAGAACATGAAGAAGATAAATTGGGAGTCATTTGTGCCAGAGAGTAAAGTAAAAGGAAAGAAAACTTAAGCCCTGTCTAATGTCACAAAACAAAGAGAAAGAAGCAAGAGAAAAGAAAGAGGTATGGAAGATGAAAAAATCCCATGCAGAAAAGCTGATTAAAAATTTAAAGAAGGAACAGTTTCCCCCAACTTTTTCTGTAGAAATGAGGAAAGAAAATAATGAAAGTAAATAATGAAAGAAAATAATGATTTATAACAAATGTAAACCGAAAAAGAATGGGAATTAGGACCAGCCATGATGTTTTCCAACCCTGAATTAATTAGGTATTCATAGGTCCCCAAGAAGACCCTTGCCATACTTTGTGCTATTTACAAAGTCAAGACTGAAGGATGCAACTATGAATGACTGAATAATTTCATCACTCTCAAATATTAAGTTATTCTCTCTGAAATATAAATATTTGAAAAGATAGGTGATATAAAGACCATATCAGGTCAATCTAGAAGAATCAGACATCAACAAGAACTGGGAAGRAATGGTTTCTGAGTGCCTATATTTGTCTATAATTTAGATTTCTTAGATGGCTGCTATTAGTCTTTATTACAGACAGAGACTAATATCTTTGCTTAAACAAACTTTGCTAATCGTGTTTTTTAATGCCTCAGCTTTCTTATTTGGATCACCTGACTATATAGGATATATCTCAAAGGAGAATTAATTCCTCCTATGCAAGCATAATTTTTAGATTTTTCAGGTACTGAGCTTTCTCAGAAAATTAATTATCCTAAAGGCTTCCTGTCCTATTGATACATCCAATGTGTCATTTTATGMAAATCACCTCTATTGCTCCAAGAAGCATGCATGCTCTTTATCAATAAAAAGCTCTATTAAATAAAACCATAATAACCTCTTTAGCACCCGAGGACATTAATACTGTTTGTGAAAAAAAAAATCAGTACAGAACTTAAATTTWAAAAAACAAAACAAAACCAAACAGATGCAATAAATGGTTGCTCCTTCACTAAAATGTGGTCTCACAAAAATTTTGGCTACACTTTCCTAGAGTTTTCCCAGCATACTACATTACTATTCTACTAGAAGCATTTTTTAAAAGAACTTTAGGATGTGTAAAGGAAAATACTACCTTATTTTGGGGAATACATTTGTTTCCCCTCCTCAAAAAATGCACATCTTTTTGTAGAAAAGTGGGAGAAAGGTGACCTACAAACCTGGGAAATAATCTTAGGAGATTAGATTACCAAATAGCATCCCTGAAGAAAATTTACAAGATAATGAGTGAATCGTGAACAAGTTAAAAAAGTAGTAATGAAGGAAAGGCATAACTGAACTAAAATAATATAAAAATGCATTCCATAGAGTTTTAAMAACTTTGAAATATCAGCTATGTTTCATTAARCAGTAAARAATAGGTGAAATTCYGTTTATGGAAAATGATACAATCAAYGTTAATACTGCTATTCTCTAAAATAAGGTGATTTTTTCCTGTTCCTATAACATGACATGATTTCCCTAACACTGCCACTGAGTATATTATATCGGATAATTGTTTCCAACTTTCTCTGTGATCCTGGTAACTTGGTCATTTGGTGGTTTACTAAGCTAGAGAGCTAACTGATCACTTGTGTCCATGCCTATGCCACCAAAGGGAGACACTTCAATGAAGTGTTTGAAGTTAGAAGTCCAGTCCTTTTTCAATCCAAGAGAAAAAAAAAATACAGATCAATACTTTCCAGAAGASAATCTGAATCTGCCAAAGAAAATGACTGCCTCTGGAGAAATATCTTTCATTCTCTGATTGTGGAATGAGCCTCTTTGCCCTGTATAATTTCAGAATCTCAAATCCCCCTTAAAATATTTGCTAGGTTCACCATGAAACTTAAGACTGTTTTATTTTCAATTCCTAGATTTAAGTTATATTTCCTACCAAACCTTTATTCAAATAATTATTATAGTTGATAAAGGAGTGCTATGCACTGGGTAAGTCAAGCTACAAATCATAAATGTGACAAAAACAACTTCTYAAGCAATGTGTTTTAGCTTAATTTGCATCATGACATTTAGATATCAGTCCTGTGACTGCTTATAAAATTTCAGAAGAGTCTACATGATTCTGAGYGCATTGTATTTTTAGGATTAAGTCAGTAATATTTCCTCACAAGTCTGCACCAAAATTGTTTTATGAGAGTTAGGAAAAACAGTTTGGAAAAAGGTGAGAGAAAAAAATYAATACAACATATGTCCTCATAAATTTATCTAATAATTATTTAGAAAAAAAAAATATTTTATATTCCTATTATTACTTCACAATTCAACAGAATGGCTCTACTGATTCTTATAAGTATTCAACCTAGTATATAAATATTTTCATAAGCAAAAAATCTGTGATGAAATAGGAACAGAGAAAACATATGCTCCCTCTCTATGCTCCCTGTCTCCTTCCAAGTACTCTCCTATCCTATAAATATTTTTAGCCCAAAGGATTTTCTCAGCCTATTGTGGCTTGCATAGTCAATAACAGGTCTTGTCCCCCTGTATTTGTCCTTTCCTGACCAYACACAAAATTATTTTAACCACAGCATTCTTTGTTAAGGAGTTTCACAGATCTGCTATCTTATGCACCAAGAACCACTTCACTAAACGTGAAGAAGAACCTGACTTTCACAAACTCAGTTTAATAGCCCAGAGKTCCACTGGAATTTCCTCTTCACAGTGCTCCTAATCTCACAAATCCCTTCTATATCTCCCTCAAACCTGCTATTTTTTCTAGGCCGCAGGGGCCCAAATTATTTATTTTTTTTCAGTAAATGCTGTTCCTTATCCTCAGTCCTCACCCCTTATCAAGCATTTTCCCATTTAGGGTATATTTTTTGAGATGACAGGAGAACACAAATATACTTCCTACTTTTATTTTGTTTGGCTAACAGATCTTTTAATGTTTAAGAAACCACCATTTAAACCAGTTCCTAAAGAGAGCAGCTCCACTGCTCACTCAAACTATAGGAGTCCAAATTTCTATGTGTCCAGACATTTGAGAGGTGGAAGGAGTAATAATGGAAGGGATTAAAAGCCTTAAGAATTTACTTACAGGTGATCCTGGAGTTATTCTTGATACCACCAGAGGCATTTTCTGATCTACTCCACCCTAGAGGAACGCCAAGTAAATAAGAAGTAATATCATTAAGCATAAGCAGCATTTAAAACAAGTAATCAACTTATTTTTGCTTCTATATGCATTTTTATGCTGTATCATCATGGACAGGGTTGGTAGGACTGAATTTTCATCACTAAATGGGGAATTAGGGGGTGGGTTGTGGTGTCTTTTAATCTGTCAATTTCTAGTAAGCTAGATCCAATGTCTTTTTTGGCCATAAATTTTAATAGGCAATAAACAGATAAAACTGAACATTTATTGCAACCCTGTGCTTGAAGCAAACCTAATGTACACGTGAATTTGCAAGGCAGACAGTTTTCTTAGATTTTGTGACAAATATGCAAGGAATCTGCTAGGATCAAAGTTCCAGACAAYTGTACTCCCTTACTCTCTTTACATYACATTCAATTGCTACCCCAGCAATRAATAGCCAAGGTGAAAAGATCAAACCCTGCTCTAATTTTGATRTTATGGCTAATTTAAAATACTCTGCTTAAATGGAATTTCAGTCAGGGAATGTAAAACATTTACAATAGTCAATTATCAATAGTAATTTTCATTTTCTTTATAAATTAATCTTCAACTTTCCAATATGATTTTCAAWCKATATAAYTAAAYGGAACAGCACAAACTATCAAAATTMTTTTATAAATTTTCCAAAAACTGATGCCTTAAATCAGGCTTTCTAGTTCATATTTCAGCAGCCAAATGGGCAGAGTGCCTTGGATATGTGTCATGCCCATAATAAACACAACTGAAAACCAAAGGTCTATTAGATGATTTCTGTAAATGTTGCTTTAGCTTTTAAGGATTAGGCTGCCCCTTTTAAAAAGTCAGGTCGYAAGAAGTTCCTGTAAAATATAGTGTTTTTTCCAAATTATTACATTAAAAAATAAAAATAATCATGATGTTAAAACATTTTATCTAGAAAGCATTTAAAAATAATTAAAAGGCAGCTGGTTTACCTTTAGATTAAATCCAAACTTCCCTTCTTCATCTGGTATGATACGTACCAAAAGTAAATCTCCTTCAATTAGGTCATTCTGCAATGAAACATAGAAAAAAAACSACCCCAATTTTCTAATTTTTAAAAGAAAACATCAGCAAATTAGAAAATTGTGCATCCAAATTTAGGTGTGCTGAACATAAATACTCTATRTAAATCCACCTTTCAAGCAGGAAGAGGATGTGGTTGTAGAATATACTAATGGCAGTAACCTTTTAAATTGCAAAAATAGCAATATGCATCTCAGCAAATGTTCTCTGGTCACATTGTTCCAACATTGTTACTCTCATCTCAGCTTTCTCAATTGATCACTCCTGTTAAACTTTCAACCTATTATCACTAAAAGCTTAGGGGCAACACATGAGTGGAATCGATTCTACTGTAAGAACTGTGAACTAACTATCTTTCCCCTGATTTTTCTCCTTTGAATAGGTGTATTTTTATGCAACAGATCCACAAAGCAGAAGAATTAAACTCTGTTAGCAGCAAATGGACATGTTGGAAATGACCTTACTTTTCTAACTAATTTTAAKTAGTTGTTTTAATTAATTGTAAGTGCCCACTTTTAGCCACACCCCCCGATCCACTACCATAATGTTCGCAGGGAGCAGCTGCTCTGCAGTCAGTTCAGAACTGAAAGGATGATATTTAGCCATCTGTGAGAGAAGACTGGGATAAAGSAGAGTTGTGTCTGCTATTCAGACATAGAACAACTTGAGTTAGCTGATCTTTCCCCTTGGAAGAAACAACATTTAATCGTGTAAGGGTTTCCATTACACTAGGACTTTYCCTGAAGTTTCTGGAATGCTGGACACTTTGGAAATCAATGCACTTGGCAAGCTTGTCTATCACAGCCTTGAATAAACATGAGTAGCAACACAAGATCTATTCTCATTACTACTGTCATAAAATATGCCCATCCTGAAATACAGCCACCACTTTTGTACACTCCTAAACTACAGCTCAAAGTTATATTCACTGCTAGTTCTGACTTTAAAAGCACACAACTGGACATACCTTATCRCAGTAGTACTGACTGGAATCTTCCATGGAGCTACTTTTTGTAGCGTTGTCATATGTTTCTAAGAACTGTTTATCCACTCCTTCCAACGGGTAAGAGCCAGAAATGTTGCCAACTCCATTGGGAGACTGAGCCAAGGCTTTAGGTGAGAGACGGGTCAGAGAACTCCGTGTAGGACTGTTTTCCAATACATTCCTTTGTTTAGAAAGGATAAATATTACAAAGGTACTGTTACCCAGGTATTTTAATCAAAAGAAAGTTTAAAAGAGCAAGTTTAAGAGTTAAAAGAGCCAACTTTATACTTAGATTTAACACCATTTCTTAGTGGAAGTGCAGGGAAACAGGATTGGAGTGTGATCTAAGCCTATCATTTGATCAGTGGGCATTCAGAAGAATGGATAAAAATTCTAGAATACAAAAACCATTTAATGCAAGATATTTGGATGTTAGACGTGAAAGGCAGTGTTGCAGTRGTACAGGAATTCACAGTAAACGTGGAGAAAGCTGAACCACAAGGGAAAGGCACTTCAGTTGCCAATTCTATCCATGAAAAAATCTTTTGCTGTGGTTCCACTCTCATTCCTGCAAAGCACTTTTTTAATTCCTCCCTCTTACAAGTGCCATCTCAACCTTCTCCCTGTGGGAGAAGGCAGTTTACAGAAAAGTCATGGTAAATTGTCAGAGAAATAGCAAATTAAGTGAYAATGAAAGGTTTAATTCCAGTTAAAGTATTGTTATTGAGGTAGTCATAACTACATGAAAGGACCCAGAATTAACTAAGGACAGATCTGGCATTCAAGAACTTGAACATTCAATGACAACAAATGTCAGTAACTAAAAACCTCAAATTTGGGAATTGGCCAAGTTGTGTGATGGCACTGCAGGACTTCCGAAACATTCATTTAGCTACATGCCCTCTTATGAAAAGGATGACACGCAGACCTCTGATACAACCAACCCCCTTCTTCAACTGGACCAAACTTATGCATACCATACGGACTAACTGCTCCATCCTGGTAAATACTAMCTAATGTAAAAATATCTGTCTTGGGCAAAGCTTAGGTATAGCAACATCAAATTTTGACAGTGCTAAAGTAGCAGAAGWACATGCAAGTAAACTCTGGCATCAAAATTTGTAAATTCAAACATTTACTTGGGCTGTGGTATTTGTGAGCTTTTTTTGAACCATTTCCAGCAGCCATTTCTAGCTGTCAATGAAAAAGTAATTTTACACTACAARGAATGTAGCTTAGGCTTTTAACATATAAGAATTGTATTGCAGCGAACTTTGATACTGYAAATACTTATATATTGGCTTGTGAAAAGCCAATCAGTGAAAATCTGATTGCAGCAAACACAAACGTCCTGAAAGATGCCATCAAGCAAATRTATGCTTGCCATAATACTTCTGACTTTCAGTTATACTATGTAAACTTGGCAATGGCAGTGAGGTGTTTCATGCAACATTTGCAGAATTTTCAGTAACTAGAGAAAATATTTTTTCAGTGTATCAGAGACCTTAGTCAATTGACACCGTCAGTAATTTCAGAATACTTTGAAGTAGTGAACTATAATGACACTGTCAAAATTCCATTTTTATCTGATCACTTCCAAGACTCTTTATGATTCCTATAAGGTCAATGTTAAGCAAGGAGAAACACTATTCCTCCTAACAAGTTTTTCAGAGTATAGTAGTTCTAAAAAGCATTTTCCTTACAAGCTTGAATTACAGACCATAATGATTGTTCAATGTAGAAAAGAAATCTAAAAATACCAGAAAAATACAATCATGYATTTCCATGTCATCTGGCACTATATAAAGAGTCACCACATAAAACTACCAAGATTTTTGCATGATTAAACTTTTACAACAGTTTCTAACCAGTTTTTTTTGTTAATACTGATGAGGATCGAGTAGAACTTAAGACTTTGCAAATCCTGACCCCAAAACTTACTTTTTTTTTACAAATCTTTGCAATCTTCATTGGTTAATACATTTGTGTCTTTYAATCATTCAAAACCACTACTTTGAAAAATCAGCTGAAGTTACGTATTTCCTTACTTATCTTAAAGCTAGAGATAGGAGAAAGTGTAAAGAAAACTCACTTTGGTGATTCTTGTTCTGATGACCTGATTAAAAAAANAAAAAAAAAAAAAAAAAAAAAAAAAAAAAAAAAAAAAAAAAAAAAAAAAAAAAAAAAAAAAAAAAAAAAAAAAAAAAAAAAAAAAAAAAAAAGCCTGCATAAAAGCCAAAAGTGTGTTCATAGTAAATTAAAGAATACTTAATCCTATGGTGAAAGTCTGAATCCGGTAACTAGGATGTTTTTGAAACACTCAACAAAAATCCCAGGGCAGCTCTGATCATTCACTTCTGCTTTTGACACAAGCCCAGCTACAGGCACACACATCTGCCACTGGAACTCTAACTATGCAGGAGTTTGCAGAGGCAATTACTTGCCCAGACATACTACATAATTTTAGAAAGTTTTAGGTGTGGATCACAATAACTACAGATGTCACTGACTGCATTTTGTAAAAAGTCAAAATGTGGCAAGATCTTTATGTTTAGGTAGCCAGAAATGAGCTACAGGTGGTTTCAGAAGCTTGACATTTCCAATGTTTATTCTCATGATGTGAGAGCAGAGAAGGTGTTGACAGAAAAGTTTGAGACAAAACATAATGAAAGAAGAAGTGGTTACACCAATGACGACAATCTAGAATGGAAAAGAAATTAAAACTGCAGYACATAGCATTTCCAGTGCATTCAACTAGCTTCATCAGAAATCACCTGAAACAGTGAGCTAAATGAAATGACATCAATTAAAACAAGAGCTGTGATACTTAGGATAAATTTTAAACTAAAAGTCACCAAAAAGGTGTTTGCAAAGCAAAGTTTAAGGCAGATGGGATAGCTTTACAAACTCAATTAAGTAGTGACCAAAAATCCTGGAGTGGTGTAAGTCCATGCTGGAAAAATACAAATGTGAAGCAGTTCAGTTTGAATGTAGAATTGCCAAGTTACAGAAGGTAATTCACAGTATACAGTTAAATTTTCAACTCTTATTCTCTAAATCACCCTTAATACTAAGAACTATGTACTATGTTTCATCAAAATTACAGTAAAAATARCACCTGTATCAGTCTAGATAAGTTTCCTTGTATGTAATTTGACAATATGAAGAAATTCTTCCTTGAGAGGCAGAGMTAGTGAAGCTTGATCCCTGAAGAATTTGTGGAGGTTTGAGTTCTGTGTACTTTTAATGCTTTTAAAGCATGGAACTTCTTCCCCTTTTATTGCAGTCATACTTAACTTCTGACTCCACTGACATGTATCCCCACTCACCCAATGGTTCCTTTGCTTCTGTTTGCCCACAACCCCAGAGAACTTTTAACCCCCGAGTCTAAGCAGATCCTGTGGCAACGTACACTGCCTTGCTGCTTGACCAGCCCACATCTAAATGGGACAAACAGTGAGCTTCTCCTGTAATTGCTCAGCTGAAGGGTTTTTTTTTTTTTCCTTTCAAGTCACTGACTTTCACTAATCGTGTGAAACTTTGCATCTTCAAAACTTGTCTGCTACATTACATCTGATTGCATTGTCTGAATGTTCTCAGGTGGAAACAGGCAGAGGGGCAGTACAATGACATAAGCCTTATTTCCTTGGGAAGTCATGCTAAAAATAAACCATTGAAGTAATTTTTGTTTAAGTTAATTGGTTTCCTTGTGAGGCAAGGAACCATGTAYCTTTTCTATGTTTTGCCACAGCTCTATTTGCAGCTCTTTGCGACAAGCTCTATTACCAAACTCAGTGCAGAATCRAAACAGTTAAACCTTTCAAGTCTTCATTAAAAACTTACAGAYATAGAATTGTGATGAAAATCAAAGCAATGTCCTGATTTTAATATATTATCTCCCCTCTTTCTTCTCAAGAGACAGAGGCAGTTTGAGAAACTGCCTTTTCTTTTGAGAAAGAAAATGCTCTACTTGGGCTTTCATTCATACATCTTCTATAAACTTACAGTGAATTATTCATTAWCTCAGTCATACCTTTGGAGACTCAAATGAGGGATACAAATTCTTAGTTCTATTTGATGAAGATGTATCTGTTAAATTATTGCACTTTAATTCAACTATATTAGTTCTAAAAAAAGTTACTGAAAATTCTGTAACCTTTCGAATGTGGAAGTTCACCAAATATTTGATGGAGAAAGTGACCAAATTCACTGTCTGAAAGAATTCACCAGAGATGCAGCTGTGTGTTYCTAAAGTCCTTAGTAGGTCAGCATGCTAGAGCTGCAGAATTTTGAACTGCAACAGTTAAATAGTATTTCTAGCATTTAATTACTCAGCAATGTGATAAAATATCTTAAGCACAAATAACTAGATGGTATTTTTTGGCTACACAGTGTTACAGAGTTTACTAAGCCATCTTCTTCATTTCACAACATATAAGGACTGTATTTTAAGTCAATGAAAAACAACACTCACCAGAGCAGCCATTCAACTYTTTCATCAAGGAAGAGAGCCCTTCCTTGCAAGGAGATTAAGYTTTCCATTGGTGCAGCAAATAAGCAAACACTTTAAAACTTCAGGTAATTTCTCTTCCTCGCTTCACAATGTATCTAAAAATCATGCCATTTCAACCTTGCACTCAGTATAGATTGGTCTATTGATAAGGTATTTTAAATACAGGTCTTTGCCCTGAAAATCTAACTCTCCTCTTCTGCCAGAAAGATAGAATGGAAAGAACTTAATAAAAGACCCCTCCTCCTCATTTTGGTGTGACCTACCAGGGCTTTCTGCTATTCTGAGAACTGAGGATGATAAACTACAGCAGAACAAAACCCCGAGAGAAAAGGGTCAACTGAAACAATAGCACTGTAGCAAAACTCCCCCTTTAAAAACAACTGAAGGAAACATCTGTAGGTTTTGCCCTTGTGCTGTTCTTGAAGTTCTTAAAGCTTATTTTATTGTAACACCTGCAGGGTTGGGGAGACCAAGTGTGCCAGCACTTCCATTATCACCTTTTTTCTAAGGACTCACCATTAAAACTGGGTTTTTATTCATAAGCAAAATAAGTGGAAGATTGCAGCAAAACCTTTCTGCTGCCTTTTAGTGACATTTATACACAGAATATTCWGCATTTCTGTGAAGAGAATGACTRTGTAAGAAGGTGCCATAAGTTTTTTGTGCTGCATAATTAAGAGAACCAGTACGGAAAACTTGAGGACTTCATGGCTTACACAAGCTTTTCAGTGATTTCCCATAAATTCCAATCATTCACATTTGTATGCTGCTGCCATCACCATTAAAGGGATACTTTGTAACWCTGCATTGCCTCCATTGACCATATTCCAGTTTACTGACTTGCCWTTAAAGTTTCATGTGTTTTGACACACAGCAACTGCTTGGATTGTTGCAAGGTTTGCGTTATCACAGTTTTGCAATTCAACTTTGAGACTTTCCGTTTGGATGCAAAAGTATTGCTTTTTGAACTGGCAAAGAAAATGTRGTACATTTGAATAAGGATATATATTGAAAAAGAAAAGTTTGCATCTAAGCAAAATATGTACAGGTATATTTTAATGTACATTTGGGTGGAAAAGCATGTAAAATTCAAACTCTATTAGTGGCAGACCTAAAATTCTTATTTGAAAGTAACTGAAACGTTCTCAGATCCACTGTCTGAGAGTATTACGGTACCTTCACCAAGAAAGGCGTAAAAGTTCACAAAGACAACAGAATTTTGTAAAATGTGACAGATTTTGTAAGAACAATAATTATCTTTCTGTATGATTAAGAACCAAGTATAAATAACAGTTTAAAATACGGGCTTGTTTGGGTTTTTTTTATTTGCAATTTTCTACCAAGAAAGTAGCTACCACGACTTGAYTGGATAAATCCGAAGAGCACTTTTATCAACAGTAAAGCTTTAAAACTAAAAATCATATTCTAGTTAAATGAATGATGTGTTCCCATAGGATATTCACCAAAGCTCACTACGTAGCTACAGTTTATTGTCTATCAAATGCTAAGCTAAAAGAATTGAACAAATGCAGCATCCGTTCAGGAAATCTATTTTCAGTGCAATACCTTCACCAGATGATGCATCACACTCACACCAGGAACRTATGTGCACTTCCAGAAATTCATAGCACAGTGCAAGTGAATTTCCTTTTTGTATACTAGCTCATCATTTCATTTCCTTCCCCTTCAACTCCGGGGCTACACACATTATTCCATCTRTATCACTAGCAAAAGAYACTTTCACAACGTAAGTTAAAGGAYGTTTATATCTTTGCTATAATTTCAGAGAAAAGTTYATGAAGGGATATATTGCATTTATAACAAAAAGAATCGTAGACTCCAAGCAATTTAGGTCAGAAGGGAACCTGAGAGGTTCATCTAAACTTTTGTTCAAAGARCAGCAATCCAAGTTAGGTGAGAGTGCTCAGCTCACTGCATTTTGAGGTTCTCCAAGGATGGAAACATCTCCACCGTTCTGCTGATGCGTACTAAGGCATAAATAACCAAAATGTAATCTCCCCCCCCAATTGTCTTTTGAGCATTTCCCTAAATATAACTTGAATCCAATGCCTCATGTTTTTACTCTGCATCTGCAAGAAGAGCTGGCTCTTTATTCTTGATATCCTCTTTTGGCAGTGCAAGGCATCAATGTGACCAACCCCTCCTCGACTCCCCCAGCCTTCTGGTTCTCCTCGTGCATCATGTGCTTGCACCTGTGAATAACTCGCCAGATTTATCTCATCAATCAATGTATGACTCTAAATATAAGATCTCTATCATCTTGCCTGTCAGGAAGATTTTCTTGCTGACTGTTACTATACCTTATCACTTAGAAATATGTTTTACAATAATCTTTCTGGTGAAACAGAAAACTTCACAGCTAATCTTTTCTGTTAGGCCAGCGAATCTACTCTAAAAAAGTACCAAAACACTTGCTCCTACGCAATCTGCTGTTCCACACCAAACAGACACGTTTGGTTTATTTAATTACATGGTGAACAGGAGAAATTGAATACAATTCAGGYAATAAGGCCCTCCACACAGCTTATCAGCTTACTTCTCCAAGCCAATAAGCCATTTATTTTTTCTCTTTGGCACCTTGT